GTTGGGGCGGCCGCTGTCTCCGCTCGCCCCGCGCGGAGCCGGCGGCCGCCTCAGGGCGGGCAGCGGTCCTTGCGCAGCCCTCCTGCGAGCCGCGAACATGGGGGGAAATGGGGGAAAAGGGGCTTATTTTGTATCTCCTTCCCCGAGCCGGCAGCGCTGCCTCGGTGCCGCCTCTCGGCTCTCTTCAAAGCGGGAGTAGCCGCCCCCCAGCCCTGTTTATTAGGGCTATTGGTGCTCACTGTCTTTTCTTTGCTCCTCACAACTTGTTCCTCACCTCTGCCCACTACAAAGGCTCATGTAAATGCGGCAGTGGCCTCACTCTCGCTTTCATTGTGTTTTAAATCTGCGGCCATCCTTTTCTCCCCTGTACTCCACTCCCCAAGGGACATAGTATGCAGTTTTAGAGGMTTTGAGGCAAAATGGGCTTTTCTACATACGAATGCAAAAACAGTCCTGCGCTTTGTCGGTTTTACCAGTCTCGCTACCTCACACATGCCCTCAGTGCTCCACAAGGAATTTCTGTCAGTGCTTGGTGTGGGCCCTGACAGCAGACTGTAAATAATATGTAATGTAATAAAGTAATGAGTAAGGTAATAAATAAATAATGTAATAAAGCGCAGCCATCTAGCTGACACAAGAAAAGCAAGTCCCCGAGAGTGGTGCAATGTGCAAAACTGCCATCTTTTAGCTAGCAGCAGAACAAACTTCTGTGACTCGGTAAACTCCCACAGAACTGTTTTGTACTCCCTTCACGCTGTATTTCCAAACGGACAGTTTGCATTTTGAATAGAGCACTTTATGCAAATTGTCATGAACTGCCCCTCCATCTCCTACTTCAGAGCAAACACCTACCTGGTGTGTTTACAGGAGAGCTCTCTCCAAAATATACCCACGGGAGGAGTCTAAATACCTTCCAGGTCTGTTGTCCACATGCAGGACGGACATGTAGTGCCAACACAYACAATTCCTCACCTTCCCAGTGGCCACTTCTGTCTCTTAAGAGTTACGTGTTGGCATTTCATGGCTCATGGATGAGGGCAACAAGCTGCAATCCCTGCCATCTACAGAGTCTTCTTTCTTACGGGGTACAATGTCGTGCTTGGCTGAAAAGTTGCATTTCCTTCTCCCAAGTGGACGGCTTATGATGAGTGAAGAACTGCACGTTGATAGCAGCCRTTTTTCTCCTTCTCAAAGGACACCCAAGCAGCAGTGATCTTTGCATTAGATGCTGCAAGAACCCTTTCATGGCCATTTCTACATGGATATAGGAAGCTCTGGGGACTCGGGCATTAGAGCCATGAAAGACATCCCCTCCCTTTACTGCAGAATCAATCAAAGGCCACACAGTCAATCCGCATTTCGTAACTTAAGAGGTTGCTCAGCTACATGTTTACTAGGCATAACGCRTGTCCTTAGCAAAATACATCTCATTCTTTCCTTCAGCAACAGCAGGCTCTGGCAGCACTGTCCTTTGCTGCTTTCAGCATGCAACGTTCTCTCTCGTGCAAGGGGTCACTTCCKTAACAAAGTGAGAAATCACCTTTTTTCTTTTTCCTCCAAACAAGTATTAGAGAGCAGCTCTGATCAAATAAACATTGGGTAGTAGAATTTAGACAAGGGATGGTGGAGRTCATCACAACTTCGACATTAAAATTTCAACGCAGAAAACAGGCATTCAAAAAGGAGGCAAAAAGGTTATTTAAAGGTACTTGTCTGCAAATTTAATCGTGATTTAACTGATTTTTGACATGCTGTGCTAAAAATACAAAGTAAAGAAAGCAAATATACTGTRTATGCTACCAAGTGTTATGCTACTACTAAAGTTAAAGCAATAAATAAGGTAATTGGTAGAAAATTGGCAGAAAATGACAGTTCAGGCTCACAGAGTATCTCAGAATATGAAGCCAGAGCTGCTGCAAGTGAGTTCTGCCAGGAGCACAGCTCTGTGGGATGGGACCAGAAGCACATTGTGGTGCAGCATTAAGGCTGCATCATCTAGAGAAGAAAGGAGAAAATAAAAGGTCAGGAGAGTCAGTGAGATAGTAAATAATTTCCCTATAAGCAAAGCTGCTTCAAATGCTTTTTGTAAAAAAAAAACCCATTGCTTAAAAAGTGGTAAAAATGGCAAAATGCCTTCTCAAGTGCAAGCATTTATTGAGAAAGTTAAGCTAGAGGTGAGAGAGAATTGGGAGAAACTTAAAAAAAAAAAAAAAAAAAAAGGGGCACCAAACATTAACAGGAAGCAGACACTGTGTGCACAGGTGGTGCTTAACAGAATAAGCAAGTTCTCAATCAAGGAGAAAAAAATAAGAAAAAAAGACAACCAATTTTTTTTCCCTCCCAAAACAAAGAAGTGATAGTTAATCTGATTAGCATCACACAGACTGTTAAGCTAAAGCCATGCTATTACTACTTATTGCATTACGACAAAAATAAATAAATAAATAAATAAAAACATTTAAAAAAATGTAGTTTTGGAGAACTGAAGAAACACTGAAGAAATCTTTCTGAACACTGAAGAAATGAAGAACGCTGCTCACAGGCATGGCCAGTGGCTCCTACCAGTCCACAGCCTCAGGGCTGTTTCTGCAGGCACCTGCACCTTCATGGATTTTAAAGCAGGAATTGTGGAAATGGTTTAAGTGGAGTTAAGAAACACGCAGGCCTGCTTATTCCAACACTGAAGGAGAATATACCGATGGTGGAAGGGCCGCCTTTGTGTTCCTTTTGCAAATACTATGGAAGTCCCAGTATAAGAGCAAGCGCATGCAATCAGTCCTACCTTTRGGCATTTTAGAAGACTTGGTACTACTTCTTCATTAAAGCAACAAACAGTTAGGTCCAAGACAGACAAAAACACCTGATGTCCAGTTATTTTTAAAGGATTTTTTTTTAAGTATCATAGAAACAGCACAAGGCTATGGGTTTTCAAATTCCAAGTGCAGACAAGACTGCAACTACCTTAGAAGTTGGGAGGCTGGAGGCACTTAGTWAAATTTAAGTGCTGCTCACTCCCTGCTGGTCCACCCATCTCCTGATAATGTTAAAAATATGGTCAAGTGTATGTTTAGAAAAAGGACTTTTATTTACTGTTTTCCAAGAAAACTACAGCAAGCTAGATGACTATATCAGTTATATGCCGAGTTGTCACAGTCAGTACTAAAAAAATCAGGAGCTAAAGCTTCCTTTCACAATAAAGATTTATTTTTTACTTGGTGACTACAGACACTATGAACATTTCTAAAATTATTTTTATTCATACAGGTTTTTTTTTTTWRKTYYTWAAAAAAAAACGAAGTTTTATTTCTTGGAAGCCTATTCCAATTATTCTTCGCCAATTACTCTCAAACACTGGCATGATAAGGTGTTACATTGCTGAAGCAGAAACTTCTACCTATTCACTATTTAAAAATACAAGAAATTTTTCCAATCTTTTGCAGCAGTTACAAAGTTGCTGGAAAAAAACATAAAACTGCATTTACCAAAAATAACTTTGTCACAGATAATACAGAACTCAGCAAGAAATCCAACACTAGGGAGCAGTTTTATTAGGTAAGCAATTCTACTGATGGTACAATCATAGATAAATAACTACAATGTAAAGACACTTTCCAGCACATCATGAATTCCCGAAGTTTGAACTGTTATGTTTTGTTTAACAGGATAGAAAAACTGTCCCTCGCTGCCTATGAAATGTAAAGCTTAACCAAGACTTCCAAGTCCTCAACGTTCCATTAATCTCTGGTTTCATAGAAAACAACCAGTACAAGATTTTACCACTTTACAAAAGCATTTATACTTATCTAAAAATGTAAAAAAATGGATCGAGTTGGGCTTTTTTTTTTCCTTCTTAAAAACGTGCTTTCTAGAACTACTAAAAAACTTGCATTTACAAAATAGTTGATAAAAATAATCCTCTGAATTGTACAAGAAAGGTATAAGGACCACCAATTAAAGAGCTGGTGCAAGATGTTACTCAGACTTAGCTTCTTTCTCTACTGCTGCATCAGATGCTGGGGTCTGAAAAGAAAAAAAAAAAAAAAAAGGAAGTTCACACAAAGCTAATTAATCAAGACTACAACTCCATTTAGATCAGAAAACGCACTGCATTTGCAATATTACGTAAAACCAGAACGCAGCACAAGTATTGATATGAAAACTATACTTAAGTTATTCCAAATCTTTCCAGCAGCACCAGCAGAATATATGTCACAGCATTACCCAGGCACAAACTGTAATGCCCRTTTGTGTGTTTTCACTTGCATCTGGCAGAAGCTCTTCCAGAATCCAGAGCTGCTTCCATGCACTGCCATTATTCTGTGTGAATTTCAGTGTTGCTAGAAGAGATCACTGGCCTTTCACAGTAGTTCACTGATACCACTGTATTACAGTAAACGATAGTGCCAAAATAATACAAAATGAGATTCTACTTTTGCCTTTTCAGGACTTTAGGATCCAGAAATCTTGGCCAGTGTGACCAACATGAGACCAGCATGACCATATGCCCCAGAAGTCATTATCCATTCCTTAAACGTATACCTTTTCTTACCCTAGTAATTAAGGAGACCACAGCTGAGAAATGCTGCCAGATTTAACTTTCACTGGTGTTGCTGAAATACTGTGTGCACATATTTAAAGTGAAAAGACCAAATTACATGATGGTAATAYAGTGCTAGAACACAAAATTAAACCAACCATACCTATTTATAGCACAGCTTCTCACAAAGACCATAAAGTAAATTTGCCAATGAAAAAGTTTTATCCCAAATGAAGTTGACTTGTACACTTAAAAATATTACTCTGTACCTTCCTCACCCACCAAAACCCACCACTCACCTAGATATCCAATACTGTTTCCCACTAGTTGAAGATATTTGTTCAATGCAACCACCAGACTGGTAGCAGGAGTCACATTTTTTAATTAATGAATCATTTGATCATTGAACTGATTTAAATGAGTCAAGCAGCCAACACTGCAGAAAGCTGAGACTCTTTTAAGCCTACTACTACTACAGAAAAACTTGTGCGTTTTATCCAATGCTAACAGTTGTCCTAATAAGAGGCACTGCCTCTTCCTGACAAATCCTGTCCTTCTAAATTTAAAATTAAATTCTGGGCACATCCAAAAGAAAAAAAAAAAGGAATGAGGAAAACAAGCAGAACAGAAGTTGCTTAAATTAGATGATCATTAAACTAGAAATACAAACAATATATCCATTTTATCACAGCATTACAACCAAGCCTGATCTGACACATTCATTTCTTCAGCAATAACTATAAATCTTCTATTAATCTAAAAAAGTTTTGGTCAAATCAGAAGGTTTTGGGCAAACCATTTCAGTTTTACATTTTCAAGAGGGGAAGAACTTCTAAGAAAAGCAAATGGTGTGTTTAAAAAACAAAACAAACAAACAAAAAAAGAGAGCAGGAACTACTTTTCCACACACACTTTTATCCTCCCAARCAAATACAGCACTCAGTCATATTATTTTACCAAACTCTACCAGGCAAAACATCTCTTAGAAGGACATTATTCTGTATGCAAATTAAAGTAAAATTCTCACCTTTCTCCTTCATTTCAGGCTATGTATCACATCACCGCAACTTTATGATCACTCTTTTTGTGAGAGCTAGTTTTCATTACCTTTCCATTGACCTTTTTATCATTTACACCTTTCTTTGGGCCAACACAGATTCTGATAATAAGTGCTGCACATATAAGCTGAAATACATCTATCAAGGTGATTACATAAATCAGTACGATACTTCTGTTGCTTTGCAATGGAAGAAGACTGAGACTTTACCTCCTCATTTTTCGTTTCTCCATTTTCTGCAGGAAGGTTGTCCTTTGTCTGTTCTTGGTTCGTCTCTTCTGCCTGCTTTCCTTTAGGTCCTTTTTTCCCTTTTGATGGAGCTTTCTTGTCCTCAGATTTATCCTAAAATGAAATACAGTAAGTAGCTGCAYGTGAAAATAAGCAATAAATAAGTGAATTTGCTATAAGCAGCAAGAATTATCACCAACAAACAGTGAGCCAATGCACAGCTTAATTGTTCAAAAGGATTTTTCAATCCTAGACCAATGGACATTGATTCAAATAAGCAGGAAAATGAGCCAATCTAGTCAACATCAGAAAGTGACTCCCTTTTTCTCCTCTCACACAGCTCAGCACAGAACAGTACAGTTTAAAGAACAGCTCACAGAATCTAGAACCACTGCACTGTAAAATAACTAAGAGCMCCGCTTAGTCTCATGCAAACCCATCTGAAAAAAAGCTATCACAGCAAAAAACAATGGTAGTGAATTTCAGTGGCCAAAGAAACAGAATTTGTAATACACAATTTATTGGCCCATCTTGTGGCAGATAAAACAGCCACGCAGCCCTTTGGCTTTCTAAATACAAAACATTTCAAATGTTTAGCTTTATGATGACTAAATTTATCTTATCTTGAATAAACRCATCATCTGAAGTTTTCATTTTCATTGGTATGAAAGCACCTCAGGCACATCCTTCCTACTTGCATTACTGCTGTTACATGGGCAGGGAAAAATCTTTGCCCAAGAGCCTTTCTTTTCCCGAAGCTATGCAATATACCCTTCCAGATCTTCCACTAAGCAATCAAATCCTAAAAAGTTTTCCAGTCCTCCAGCTGATCCTCATATGTAGTTCTGAAGTAATATAAATATTTCGTAAATAGAAGTACTAGKTTTCACAATATTAGCTTTTTTACTTAATGGCATTAATATTGTAAATAAATGACAAACTAACACTTTCTCTTAATATCTATAGTCTGGGAAAGTGAAAGAGAATTCAATACCTTTATATATCTTAKGAGAAGAATTTATGCCAATTCATTTTCTCCAACCTAAAATTGACTCAGAGYAACAAAGTTCTCGTTCTGTTCATTCTCATCTTACTATTATAAACCACTTGGTCAGAAGGATTCCATACTTCATGTTTTCACTGCCAGTATTCTTCTACACAAAGAGCTCACTGTCAGGCTAYTGAGTTCCTCTAAATATTCAATTTKTTATTAATTACTTGAATACATTTCCTATTCCACCTAAATGCAAATTTAGAGTATTGTCTTCGTGAAAAATAAGCTTTTGTCAAAAGGCTCCAATTATAAAAGTGCAAAAATTTTYTGACACATCTACAAGAGACAAAAACATGTAACAACAGAAGATTGTGAAAGCCTTCAAGTTCACTTTCTKATTTTATAGAGAACAGTCTATTTACTGGTATCCATAGGTAAACATTACATATCTTTAATAAAATCCTTACTTCAAATCTTACTGTTCATTTTGCTAAYAGTTACATGATTTCCTCTTTATGAGATGTGAATAGCTGAAAATAATGCACCAAGGAACAGCATCTTCCTCCCAAATATCTGTATCTATACAGATATCCAGTGTTCTTTTTATAGTRCTAAAGTATTCATAAGCAGCAGAACAGTATCACACATATCAGGCACTCACTGGCATTATGAAGATTTAATGTTGTTTCCTCTTACCCTTTCACCCCCCAAATCAACATGCAATTCATGCATATCAGGAAAACTTCCTGAATTCTTTAGATTTAAAATGTGAAGAATATATCTACACTGATATCAAATCACTGGCATGAAAGTGCATTACTATTAAGTAAACATGCATATCTAAACATGGCAACAGACAACATGGCCACTCTCAGTTCTCCAAGAAACGAGCAAAATCAAATGTTATATGGCAGTTATTGCAACACTCAAGCTTTACTAAAAAAAAAAATTACACTTACTTAAAAAGAAAAAATAAGGCACTTATTTTTGCACATGCATAAAAAYATGAAAACTAGAGCATAGGAACAGCAACTGAAGTATGTTCCAAGTCTGCCTAAATACTTCAAAAACGTTTTACCACCCTAATACACTGCTTTAAACTGCAAGCATATTCWATTCTCTTATGTTAGAAAGTAATGGAATTTGACTACAGTATTTTGAACCACCAAGCAGCTACAATCCATACTAAAATACTGTTATTTATTATTATATTGTTATTTCCTATTTCGTGTTGTGGATGTAAACATGTACGTTATAACTGCAGTATAACATAACTGGGCACTCGCCCAACAACCCCCGCGTTCTCCCTCCATCCCCTCTTCCCAGTCACCTTCGCCGCTGGCTTTTTGGGCTTGGGCTCCGCTTTGGCAGGGGCGGGTTTCTGAGGAGAAAGAGGCACAAGTCAGGGGGTGCTCCACCCCTCGTCCCCGCGCTTTTCCCGAGGGAATCACGCCGTACTTACGGCGGAGAGCCGCGCCGATCTCCTCTTCGGCTGAGGGCGACACGGAGACACCTCGTGAGCGCGCGGCGCGACACGGCGGGGCCGCCACCCCCCCTCCGGCCTCCGCCGCCGCCGCCACCTGCCAAGACAAACACGCGCGCGCCGGTCAGGCGGCGCATGCGCACCAACCGCCGCGCGCCCGCCCGCGCGGGGGGGCGGGGCTCCCGCGCACGTGACGCCCCTACCCGCCGCCG